CTAGAGTCCCCCTAGGCCAATGACCTCCTGGCGGATTTGCCACCCTTGCTGTGGAGCTCACACTTCTTTTCCCATTTCCAATGCCCTGGGGTGGGGTGGGGGTCTAATCCAGGGGAGTGGAGAGGGTGACTTTGGGTATCCTGGCTCCCTGGCCTGGGAACTTGGAGCCTGGGAGCCGTGTGTGCTGTGGGGAGCCTGATGGAAGGAAGCAGGGCAGCGCTCCCTGGCCTTCCGGGAGGCATGGGGCAGAGTGAGCATGGCCTCCATTCCACAGAGACCCATGGACTCCTCTGGGTGCCCAGCTGTGTCCTGGGTGCAGTGCCAATGTTGACAGTCCAGTGGGAAAGGGGACAGTTCAGAAGTCAACATGAAGACCTTTTAGATAGTGATAAATATGCTAAGAGGGAAAAAGAATGGAGTGACTGAGGGGCGGCCAGGGAAGGCTTCAGATGTTACTGGGAGACAGCCTTGGAGCTGAGACTTCAGCAGACAGGCAGGCGAGTGGCTTTTCCAAGGCCACATAGTAAGTTCTGATAGAGCCAGGCTGGGACCCTTCTTGCATTCCCATTCTTTTCTTTTTGATACCAGGGATTGAACCTAGGGGTAATTAACTACTGAGCCACATCCCCAGCTTTTAAAATTTTTTATTTTGAGACAAGGTCTCACTAAGTTACTTAGAACCCCTCTAAGTCGCTGAGAACTTGCAATCAATCATTCTGCCTCAGTCTCTTGTGTCGCTGGGATTACAGGTGTGCGCCACTAGGCATGGACTCCTGTTCTGATGATCTCCTGAAAACATCCTTCTCTCGGATTCTTTTATGTTCTCTTGGTTCTCCTTTACCCTGTTTTTTTTTTTTTTTTTAACCAGGGATTGAACTGAGGGGTGCTTAACCACTCACTGAGCCACATCCCTAGTCCTTATTGTATATGTTTTAAATTTGGAGACAGGGTCTGGCTAAGTTGCTTATAGCCTCACTAAATTGCTGAGGCTGGCTTTGAACTTGTGATCCTTCTGCCTCAGCCTCCTGAGCCACTGGGATTACAGGCATATACCACCACACCTGAATGCTTTTCCAAGTTCTTGACTGGCTTTCCCTCCTCCTGGCATAGATCTGTTCCAGCACCCTGTCTGAAAGATGGTCTTGACCCAGTCCCCAGTGTTACATGCCATCTACTCCGAGTGCCTATGGCCTGCTTCACATTTCTATTTGGATACCTCAGGGATCTTTTAGGATAAAGCTAAGTCTGTATAATAAGAAAGTCCCCAAATTATAACAGTTTAAAAGTATTCAGTTCATTGTTCTTTCACAGTTCCAAGGGAAGCATTACAAGTAGGTAGATAGCTCAGTTCCACATGATCATTAAGGGGCCCAGATTAATGGCGGCACTGCTGTCTAACGTGAACCTTCCCAGGTCTCCTCATTATTGTTCTTCCAAACAGTGAAATGGAAAATCATGGAGGCCTTGAGCAGGGATTTCCTCTTGGGAAAGTGAAGTGGAGCTACACACACCACTTCTGCTCATGTCCTACAGGTAAGAGAGCAGACATGTGACCCCCACTAGCTGCAGGGGAAGTTGGGAAATGTGACCTCACTAGGTGGATAGCTAACAGTCTCTGCTAGAGCCCACCCTAGTCAACAGTGAGGACCTCCCTGCCCTGGTGGCAGAAGAGACTTGGGGTGACGTTCCTTGTCCTGTGTCTCCCTGGTTCTTGGCTTTGCCTTTTCAGAAATTCTCCCTTGCCTGTCATTCTCTATGACCACCAAACAGGGTGCGAGAGCCTGTCCTTTCTGGATGTAATTTGGGCTTGAACAATCATGGACCTTTGTGTTCCAGCCTTACCTTTTTGCTGATGATAACAATTCCTCCACAAACCTGATGGATTTGGGTCTATCTGGTTCTAGTCAGTTCCATGTGCCAGTAACCACACCCAAAGTTCCTTTCCTGAAAGTTAGCGAGTCTCTCTTCCTTGCAACCCATCTCTTGCTGCCTTACAGTGAAGGCTACCAAGGACATAGGAACCAATGGACCTGGATGACAAGGTCCCTTAATATACTAATTCGCCACAAGGGTGATTTCTTTATTTGGCCTAATATTTTGCTATAATAGACATTGAGAGAAGCTCTGAGCCACAGTCTGGTCTCCTGCTCTTTGGACAAAACCAGATGGCTTGTCTAACCCCAGTGACACTATTTTCCTGGATTCTATTTCTGTCCATCTCTTCTTATAAACTAGCCAGTCTCTTTCTTGTAATATCTTGAAATATATGAAATATCTTGCATCATGCAATCTTTTTGGCTTTTCCCAACCATTTTTTCTAGAATTATAGACTTAGTCGGCATTGTGGCCTGTCTTTCAAATTATCACACATGATGTTTGCAATAAGTATTTTATCCCAGCATAACAAGGATTGCCAGCTTTCCGTTTTCCGATAGCTATTTCCCTGTGGAAACATGTGTTGGCTAAGCCACTGCTACAGAGTTGAGGGGTTTGATCCATGGCAGCTTCTCACTCATGGTGCCAGTTTTAGTATAGAGTCTTGCTAAGCTGCTGTTAGAAGCGGCTCCAAGCCAGGTGTGGTGGTCCCCAGCTGCTGGGAGGTTGAGCTCAGAGGATCATTTGAGCTTAAGAGTTTGAGAGCAGCCTGGGCAATGTACTGAAACCCTATCTCAAATCACAGTAGTTTTAAGATCAGAAAATTGATTTTGATTATTTGTCTCACATAATATAGTTCTGATGTGAGCATTTTCAGCCTCAGCCAAGTGGGGAGTGGGTTTTGATCGACAGTTAGCAGACTCCCCAAAGGTCCTCTTCTCCCCAACCTTCTCTTTTCCTGTCTGTCAGAGGCACCACTATTTAACACTTGCTCAAGCCAAATACACAGAAGTCAACCTTGATCCTAACCCCAGATACAGCCCCATCTAGTCCATCAGAAATTCCTCTTAGCTCTGACTCTAAATCTGAAATCTAACCATTTCCCTATATCTCTATGGCCTCCACTCTTGTCCAGGTCTTCAGGGGTCTGAGGTCATGTATTAATCACCTAAATGGGTTTCCTACTGTTTCCCTGTCTCCTCTCCACATGCCAGCCAGAGTGAATTTTAAAAAACACAATTTGGGTTGGGCATAGTGGCTCATGTCTGTAATCCAAGCAACTCTGGAGGCTGAGGTAGGATTGCAAGTTCCACACCAGCCTCAGCAACTTAGTGAAACATGTCACAGACAGGTCTCAAAAAAGGTCTGGGGATTGTGGCTCAGAGGTAAAGTACCCCTGGGCTCAATCCCCAATACAAACAAATACTGTTATATGCAAATGTAATTTGGAGGATGTAGCTCTTCCTCTCAAAACCCTCTAGTGTCTTAGTAATGTTCTTCTAATGAAATTCTATTCTGTACATGGCCTCAAGGCCTTGCGTGACTGTCCCTACTTATCATATCCTTTGCCCACTCTGCTGTAGCCAACAGGCTTCCCCACTGTTCACTGAATGAGCTGTTTCTTCTTGTTGAGCACCTTAGTGCTAGGGATGCCTCTGCCCAAACAGTCTCCCCCACTTTGTCACTCGATAGTCCTTCCTTGACCTCCACAAGGCAGATCACTTCAGTGTAGTAAGAGCAGGGGCTCAGAAGCCAACAGCTCTGGTACTTACTAGCTGTGGGGCCCCAGTGGCCGGCTGCTTGGCTTCTCTGTGCCTTGGTTTTCCCACCTGCAAAAGATAATAATGTTCTTGTTACCCAAGGGTTTTTGAGAATAAAACAGCAACATTTACGTTAAATGAGCTAATACACAAAGCACTCAGAGACCAGCTCATATTAAGCACTTAGTGGTGCTATTATTGTTCTTGAAGTGTCAGCTAAATGTCACCCTCTCAGAAGCCTCTCCCACTGGGCACACTTCTCTCTGCATCCCTGCCACAACACAGCATATGCTCTTGTTTATATGTTCATGAACCCTCCCCCGGAGAATGCACCTTTCATGAGGGCAGGGCTTTATCTTCTTGCTCACTTCTGTTTCTCCCTGAGCCAGTACACACCTGCTCCTCAGTAAGCCCGTGTTGAATGAATATGGAAGGAATGGGGGCCAGATCCCAAGCAGTCCTTCAAAGTTGGTCCCACAAAACTTCTTCTAGGGAGCCCCAGGGCAGGGGGCCAGTGCTGACCTGAGGACCTGCTGGCACTGGTGGGCTGTGGCTGGTGGTGTCAGCTCTCAGCAAGGGGCTAATGTGGACCCTGGAGTCCACCCCACCCGTTTCCCTCAGTTACTAGTGGACTAGTTACTCATCCCCTCTGGGCCTCCCTTTTCTCCTGTGGAAAATGAGAGAATAGCAATTACCTCGCAGGGCTTTTATGAGGGTGAAATAGGATAATTTATGTAAAACGGGGCTCAGGGCTGGCTTGGAGTAAAGCTGTCCAGATGGTAGCTATTATTATTGTTGTTGTTAGTGTCATACCCAGTGCCTTTCTTCAGTGCTTGAATGGGGTGCCCAAGGAACTTGGGGGTGGTGGTGAGGAGACAAGGAAGTCAAGGGAAGTAAAGAGCTGGAATGGAGTAATGGTGTGCGTGTGCGTGTGCGTGTGTACACACACGTATGAGTGAGTGCTCGCTCCTGGAAAGGGGGTGGCGAGTTTTCTGAGAGCGCGCTCCTTTCTCGGAGCTCAGCTCTGGGGTGCCGGTCGCCCTGGCTCTGCCAGAGAGCCCAGAGCCGCTTTGCTCCGGTGCTCGGGACGCAGAACCCACGGCAGAAAAACCAGAGCCTTCAGTGTGAGCATCTGGCATTAGGGGGCGGAGGAAGGCACCTGCACCCCCACAGCCACTCGGGCTGGTACAGATTTGGGGGATCCCAGAACCAGCAGTGCCAGCTCGGGATGCGGATTCGAGCACTACTGCCCTGGGCGCAGCTCAGCGCAGCCGCGTGCTCCCCAGATTCTCCCGGAACCCCGCGGGCGGGGCCTGCCTTCCGGAGCCGGGTTGGCAGGGGGCGGGCGGGCGGCGCCGGGTAAGGGGCCGTTACTTTCCCAGAGTGGCGGGGCGACGTCAGGCGGAAGGGCGCGGGGCGCGCACGCTTTAAATGGCATTCGCTGTCATCCGAGCTCGCAGTCGTGTGGGCAGGAGCGGGCTATATAAGCCGCTAGCCGGGCCGCTTCGGGGCAGACAGCGACAGCAGCGGCGGCGAACGCCTCGGAGCGCAGCGGAGCAGCGTCCCCGGAGCCCCGAGCCCCCCGACGGGCCCGCCCGCCCGCCCTTCCGAGGAGCGTCTGCCCGGGCCCGCAAGGGCCGCCACCACCCCACAGCAGATTTGGATCCCCCGCCCGGCGAGCCCCAGGCTGCTGCCTCCCGGGGGGCCCCGGCGCAGCGGCCGCCCCCTGAGAGCCCCAGCGCCCCGCCGCCCGGCCCCGCGGACGCCGGCGGCGCCATGGCGGCCGCCAAGCCCAGCGAGCTCATGGGCATCTGCTCCAGCTATCAGGCGGTGATGCCGCACTTCGTGTGCCTGGCCGACGAGTTCCCGCAGCCCGTGCGGCCCGCCAAGCTGTCCAAGGGCAAGGGCCGGCTGCGGCGGCCGCGCCAGTCCCGCTTCAAGACGCAGCCGGTGACCTTCGACGAGATCCAGGAGGTGGAGGAGGAGGGGGTGTCCCCCATGGAGGAGGAGAAGGCTAAGAAGTCGTTCCTGCAGAGCCTGGAGTGTCTGCGCCGCAGCACGCAGAGCCTGTCGCTGCAGAGGGAGCAGCTCAGCAGCTGCAAACTGAGGAACAGCCTGGACTCCAGCGACTCCGACTCGGCCCTGTGAGGGGCGCCGCCCGGAGGGGGCACAAGCGCGCTTCCGCGGCCTGCCCCGGGGCCCGCGGGTGCACACCAAGAGGACCCGCGCCCCGCGCCGGGGGTACCCCTCAGGACCGGGGATCACCACCCCTCGCGCGCTTGGACTCCCGCCCCGCTGCGAACTGGTGGGTGCGCCCTCCGCTGCGCTTGCCCTGGCTCCTGCGCACTCGGGGACGCCAGGGAGGGGGGCTGCTTTCTTTGCCCTTGTAAATGTTTATTTTTTAACTCTTCCCAGTACGAACTGTGAGTGTGTGCGGGAGGCGGCCCGCGCTGACTCGCCCGGGTCTCGCCAGGGTAGCCGCTCCACGCCCGTGTCTGATGGTTTGCAACTCCGATTTTGCACACCGCTCCACCGTGCCCCCCAGAGCACACCTGTTCACACTCACGCCAACACTCTCTCGCTGAACACTTTTATAATTGTTAGGCGGGCTGATGGGACTTTGGTGCGCAGCGCGGCTGCTGCTGCGGCCCGAGGATTGATATTTATTTTTGCATTGCAACTGCTGGAGGCGTTTATTTAACCATCTTTTTACCCGGATATGTCTGTGAGGCTCCTGAATGGAGACAAATAAAGTCAATATATTTGCACAGTGCATTTCTCTAGGCTCTTGACTTCTTGAACCTTTGAGGCCCAGGCTCCCAAGACAGTGGGAGGTAAGGGAGGAGGTGCGGAGATCGGCGAGGCCCAAGTTGGAGGTTACTCCACACGCTTGTCACTGAACGAGGTGGATTCAACCTCCCCCTGTCCCAGGTGCGCGGCATTAATTTGCCTCCCTAGGTGGGACCACGTTCAGCCCAGGGTGCTCTGCCTCCCAGGTCTGTTCCTCCTCGCTGGCATCGGGGTGAAATGAAGCCGCTGGCGAGCCGAAGGCGGCCCTTTGAGGATGGAGAACGTCCTCCCAGATGCAATTGACTTCTCAGGGAGGCCAGGGTCCCGTCCTCTCCCGTCACCTAGCACAGAACACCCCACTTAGCCTAGCCTTTTCCCCCGGCAGTGGCTTAAGGGAGCTAGGAATCCTGGGGCAAGCAATGGGAAACTCAGGAGGGGGTGCTTGGACGGTGGGGCCCGAGGAAGAGCGAGAGTGTGGGTGCACACACACTGTGGGATGTGGGTGAGGGCCTCGGGCTGTCCCATCCCGGCACTGACTCAATGCACCTGCGCTGTGGGAGCAAACGGCGGCGGTTCCTGACCTCAGGCTCCTTCTTCCAGCCCTTCTCCTTGGTCCCCTTCAGGGTTCCGCAGAGCGGGTGGGGCTTGTCTTTGGTCTAAGCCTTTACAGTGTCTGGGTATCACTGGGCACACCCCATCCCCATCGCAGGGCCTTTGTTTACAGACTAGCAAACAAGGCAGGGAAGCGCCACGTGGAGAGGAGTGCTCAAGGCCAGTGCAGACGCCTGGTCCAGCTCTCCTTCCTTCCTAGTCTCTTTCTAGCCTTCTTCAGCCCCTGCCCCACATCCCTGTCTACATTCTAAATCCTCTGGGGTACCAGTGTAGCTGTGTCACCTGGCAGTAAGTGGCAACCAGGGTAACAAATGATATTTGGGTGAGGAGGGTGGGATTACTCTATGGTCTGCCCCAACCTGGCTGGGCTTGGGGCAAGGAGAGGGAGGCTTCTACTCCAGCTCCAGGTAGCCCCTTCTCTGTGCTTGGGTGCCCTCTGGTGGTGGGGGCTGGTGTGTGTGAGTGTGTGTGTGTCTGTCTCTGGGCTGAGGGGTATCTCCCTAGCAGCGACTCTGATCTGCCTCTCTTGGCACTCCACCTCTTGAAACCCTGGGCTCTGTGGAAAAAGAGGAGAGGAAATGAAACAAACAAAAACAGGCCTGAGAGGATGTCCTCCCCCTCCCCCTCCCCCAGCGCAGAGATGGGAGGGTGGGCTGTGGCCTGTTGGCTGGGGTCTTTGGCCCCTGTCCCAGCTGCTGAGAACACACTGGGCATTGCAATGGCCCCACTGTGCTGGGGGATATGACAGGAGGCCTTTGGTTCCAGAACCTCACGCTTGTGGGGCCACTGTGGGCTGAATGCAGGCTCTGCAGCTGCCCCAGTGGAGCTGGTTTGAGCTCCAGGGGTGGGAGGGGGGGACTGAAGCTCTGACCTCTCCCCAGCCCCCTTCTCTTCTCCCAGCAGAGACACTAAGGGCGGGGGGAAGGAACTCTCTTCCTGCCCCATCTTTGGCAGGAGCTCCTGCTTCTACTTCAAGAGCCAGATGCTGCAAGAGTCTGGAAGACACCCCCACCCCGGCTCCTTGGGTCACCCTGGCTGGCATTGAGTGTCATTGCAGGGATCTATCCCCTCCTTCTGAGTCCCTGCTTGGCAGCTGGCTGGACCCAGCCCTGGCAGCTGACTAGCTGCTTTTGAAATGTTTGGTAAAAACCAATAATGGGGCAGCGAGGAAACTCGGGGCCCATCTTGCCTACTTCCTAGTTTTCTTTTGTCTTTTCGTGAGTGTGGCACTGGGGATTGAACTCAGGGGTGCTCTCCACCACTGAACTACATACCCAGCCCTTTTTAGTTTTCGGTTTGAAACCGGGTAATGCTAAGTTGTCAGGCTGGCCTTGAAGTTGTGATCTTCTTGTCTCAGCCTCCGGAGTCACCTGGCCCTAGTTTGTTTTAAAATGATCCTAGTTTTTATTATCCAAGAAATATTTGTTTATTATAATGCAAAACAAGTCACTCATATACTACCCAGAGGTGAATGGGTGAATATTTGGGGTTCATGCCTATGTATGCATTGTTGTTTTCTTTGACTAAACAGGTTTATGCTCTCCGTGCTGTTTTTCAACCTACTTCTTAAATTAATTGGGTTTATGTTTATATCAGTATTTATGTAGCTATGTAATGGTTTTTGTAAAATTCTATTGAACAGATCTTCCACATTGAGTTACACTAACTCCCCATTCTTAAGTGTGAAAGTGACATCCTGTTTGTCCCAGTTTGACCCAAACTGGAAGTTCTGAGGGGTAATATAGAAAGAAGTCTAAGGCAGCGACCCAGAGAGGGACTGGGTGAGGGACAGAGGGACTGGAATGCCAGGGTTAGAGGGAGCATACTGGGGGCCACGGCTCCTGGGCCACAGCAGGAGAGCTCTGCTCTGCCCAGGAAGAGAGAGTGGAGGCCTGGGGACAGGAGGTGCCGGCAGTTGTTCCCTCTACTCCCCGTGCACACATGCATTGCAGGGCAGCCCACGCAGCTCCACAGAGAGGCGGGCTGAGTGGCCAAGGTGGAAGAGGAGGTCAGAATCAGGGAGAGGGTGGTGAAGAAGCAAGAAAGCCAGGGAGTCAGAGAGGTGGAGAGGAATGAGGTCCCTTGGGAGAAAAGGTCCTAGGAAGTGATGGGAGGTGAGACACATGGAGGTGGAGCCCGAGCACATCAGAGAGAAAGAGGGAGGAAGGGCCACCTGGGCAAGGAGAGGGTGGGAGACAGGGAGGGTGTGAAGGGCCCAGGAGATGGAAAGCAGTTCCCCTGGAGTGGGGCAGGGGAAGGAAGAGGAGCCAGGCGTGTGAAGGAGGGCAGCAGGGCCTGTGTGGGTGGACGCCTGCCCAGCATTGGGATTTACGGGCCTGTCCAGGGAGCCGCCGGCTTCCTCCGTCCCCGCCTGGCCTCGGCCCATGATCTAGCCTGGGTGATGAGTTTCCAAACAGACTGGAGCCCAGACGGGGCAGAGAAACAAGTGACCATCTCTGTCCTGGCTGGCAGCCTCTCCTAAATATTTTTCTTTGGCCCTGGGGAAGATATTTATCAGGGTGTTTCTTGGACTGATTTAAAAGCCAACTTAGCCTTGCAGGCCACTGCGTGCCAAGTCTGGACTCGTGTGGTGTGGGGTTGAGATGGAAGGGCTGTCTGCAATCCAGGGAACTAGGGTCAGTTGTGGGCTTGGGAGTCCTCCCTCTGGAAGTTCACTGGGTGTAGCCCTTGACCCTTTAGGCTCTGGAAGAATGGAGGGGCAGGAGTAAAGGCCATCATTTAGTGGTACTTCATGTGGGAACTGTACTTTTATCCAGAAAATGTCTCCTCTGCATTTCACAGTAAGAAAGGATCAGAGAGTTTGAGTTTTTTGACCAGTGCCACACAGCTTCTTAGTGGTGAGCTGGATTGCAAACCAGCACTATTTTTTCTTAATTCCAAAGTCTATCTTTTTCTAGAGTATGAATTCACATTTTTTCCTCCATGCTTCTGTGGCAGCCATGAGAAACAGGACATTGCAGATCTCCTGCCACAGGAAATGTAACTGCCTGAGAGCCACTCTGGCTTGGAATCCATCACCTCTTTTGGCTAAGGCACATCTGCCATGGGCTGTAGCTGTATGTGCTGGGATTCTGAGGCAGAGCCATTCCTGGGAGACATGAGGATTTCCTGGTCGGTGGACTTTGCTCAAGGATTTCCCGGTGGCTCTGCTGTGACTTCCATAGCCTGCAGTGCTGTCTAAGGACTCCTTTCCCCCCACTCTCCTCACTCAGATTCACTCCTGTGTTGCTCCCTGCAGGCCATTCTGGCTCCCCCGGCTCCCTCCCTGCTTCTCGGAGAGTCTGGGCTAGGAAGCCCTTCCAACCCCCAGTAGGTCTCTCCTGCTTCCGAGCCTTTCCCTTGGCCCCCACTTTGCATGGGGAAGGACAGTGGGCATCATTTTAGGGACAGTTGCAGGGACACGGCAGAGTTTACCAGATTAACACGCTTCATGATGCCTGCTGGCCCTGCATTTTTTGATAAGCACGTTGTGATCATGTGTGTACAGATGAGGGGAGGCGTGTGGGAATCCCACATAGACAGTCGTTCTCTCTATCTAGGTCTATGCCCAAGGCCATGTTGATTTACCATTGATCCATCCAACTCCCAGACCCTTGGTGTAGACTGCCAGTTGTTCAGAAATACTTCCTTCATGGCATGCATCTGGTATATATGTCCCAGACTTTCTTGTGTGGCCTTGGGGTATGGCTGTACCTTGTCCCCCACTCCCATCACACTCTCCTTCCCCTTCCCATAAATGGGAACTTGCATATAGCAGCCACCCAGTGGTGATCAAGCTGATGGCCTTGGAGATGACTGAGAAATAAGATGGAAGAACCCTAGGCCCCTGAGTGACCCTGTGGAACAGAACAGTCCGCCAATCTGGAATGATTACCATGAACTTCTACACACGACGGCACACAACTCTGTCTTCTTTGAGCCACTGTATCATTGCTGAATGTCTGACAGCAGTTTTCCCAAACTGCGAACACATAAAAGTTAGAACTGGCAGTGGAGCCCCAACCTCACAAAACCCCTCAGACACGAGGCAGGAATTTAGTGGTTTTGCTGCAAGCAAGGTAAATATATTGCAGGCTGGAAAGTTGGAGATCCTTGTTATCCCTCAACAAAGCATTTGGTGAGACCATTTTTATGATGATTTGGAAGAATTCTCATGTACGTCAACTGAGGCAATATCCTTAGAAGTCATGTTTGGAAAGAACCAGAATATTAGCACTGGCCCCTGTGTGTGTCTTTTAATAGATGATTACCAGATAGACAGCACAGGGAGGGCCTGGGAGCACTAGCCTCTTAGTCCACACAAAGGTGAAGGCTCTCCCCTCTGTAGCCCACACAGCAGGAGTTCAGGCT